AGACCCACCACATGCAGTCCAAGGGTAAAAGATGTAGCAATTTGCAGCCAATAATATTTATAGCCTTAAAAACCATAAAAGCAATTCTAGTTCACATACACCTGCTAGGAGTAGAAGCAACCCCCAACAAATGGGCATGTTTGAGGATTTTTTGTGCATGTATGATGTGTGTGTTTTGTACCACTGATGATTTATGCTTCTGTATTAAAATCACTAAACAAAATCAACATTACAAGAATCCTGGAGGGTTGTCAGGTAGTAATAGTGTCTCAATTTCAGAGAAATCAGCAAGGTGGCCAGTCTAATCCCAATGAACAAAAGTATTTTCCTCAATTCTGGACATCTCACAAAGTTGTCTACCTCCTCCTCCTCTATTTACTACATGATTGATCAAAAGAGTGTGGAGTGTTAGTTGATTTATTTGTTTGTATGCTTTGTCATTATCAATTTGTGGGTTGTTGTTTTTTTTCATTTTATTGTGGTAAAATATTTTAATTGACAAATACTCATTTTAGGTGTACAATTTGGTAAAATTAATTAGCATGTGTACAGCCATAATTATTATTGATTTACAAATTTTTTCATCACTTTACACAGAAATTCACCTATTTTTCTCCTGGTCTCATCCTCTGTCAAACACTAATAAACAATGGTCTCCATGCATTTTCCTATTCTAGATAAGTCATGAAAATTGGATAGTATATTATTTGAACATTTTGACCTTTATAATAAGCCTGGTGTTCACAAGGTTAATGCATATTGCTCCTACATGTACCACAACTTCAGTTCTTCTCATAACTGAATGATATTCCATTGCATAGATATACCACATTCTTTTATCTATTGATGGTGGGTGTTTTCACTTGTTGCTATCATGAATAATTATTCAATGTATAAATATCTATTTAATGCCCTGCTTTCAGGTCTTTGGGGTATACACATCGGAATGGAATTCCTGAGTCATATGGTAACTCTCTGTGTAACTTTTTGAGGATCCATCAAACTTTTCCACAGAGAATGTGTTTAGTTACATACTCACCAGCAATGAGTGAAGGTTCTAATTTTTCTTATCCTCACCAAGACTTAGTACTTCCCATTTATTTATTAATAACCATTCCAGTGGGTATTTGTTTGTTTCTAATAGGAGTAGAAACTATCAGGATTAATATAAAAAAACACAAACATGCTAAGAAAAGTTTCATTCATAGGGTCCAATTTTCATGCTGAATAAAGTAATATGTGAGCACACTTCTTTAAATAATTCTAAAAATAATCTTTTATTTTATTTTACTATAGATGGAACATTTATTTATACTTTAATGAAGGATTTTAAGATTCACCTTCTAGATTCTTATCCAGTTGGTTTTAGCTCATTGTGACCCCATGCGTTGCAGCACAGAACTGCTCCATTGGGTCTTCTTGGCTGCATCCTTTACAGGGCAGATTGTCAGGCCTTTATTCCTTGGCACCACTGAGTGGACTTGAACTGTCAAACTTAAGGTTAATAGTTGAGTGCAAGCCATTTGCACCACCCCGGAACTTTCTTCTAAAATAATGGTTTCACATTGTAATAGTAATAAATAACATAACATACGCACACCTGATTCTCAGCATTTATTTTTTGACAATTATATACATAGGATTTCATGTAATATGTGCATAACATTAATTATACAGATTAAATTATGTTACAAAATAAATACTGACATAGTCTGGCATTTTACTTACTGATGGTGAAATTCATTTACTCTCACTTTAAAAATTGTTAATGTTTTTTAAAGTAGTAAAAATTGAATGTGCTTTTTATTTGTTTGCAAAATATTGGTTCAAAAGATGCTCCAGTTATATATTGTTAATCAATAACACACACTGTTGTGAGTTGACTTGTGCTCCCCACAAAAGATATGCTGAAGTCCTAACTGCCCATACCTGTGAAAATGATCATATTTGGAAATAAAGTCCTTTCAGGCATAATTAATTAAGATGTATTCATGCTGGTTTAAGGTGAGTGTTAAATCCAGTTTTATAGGTGTTCTAGTACGAAGAGAAGATAATACAAGAAGGTTCACAGGGAAGAAGGTTATGTGTAGACAGAGGCTGAGACTAGAGTGATGCGCCTACAATCTAATTAATTAAGATGTATTCATACTGGATTAGGATGAGTCTTAAATCCAGTATTATAGGTATTCCTGTAAGAAGAAAAGACAATATAAGACTGGTTCAAAAAAAAAAGACTAGTTCACAGGGAAGGTTATGTGTAGACAGAGGCTGAGATTAGAGTGATGCGCCTACAATCTAAGAACACCATGGATTTCCAGAAATCACCAGAAGCAGGAAGAGGCAAGGAACAATTCTTCCCCAAAGCATCAGAGAACATGGTCAAGCTGGCATCTGGGTTTCAGACTCTGGACTTCAGAGTCACGAGCTAATCAACCTGTGCTGGTTTAAAGCACCAGCTATTGGTACTTAGTTATTACAGCCCTCGGCTGGGGGTGGGTGGGGGATACTGTTGTTGCCATTGAGTGCATTCCAACTCCTAGCGACCTGGTAGAACTGCTCTAGAGGGTTTGCAGAGCTACAAATCTTTCACAGAGGCAGACTTCACATCTGTCTCCTACAGAGCAGCTGGTGAGCTCAAACGACCCACTTTGGGGTTAGTAGCTGAGTTCTCCCTTAGGGAATAATACATACATACTGTACTCCCAAACCTAATGACTTTAGAAGTACTGTATTATTTCTCACAATGCTTTCAACTGACTAGTGCTCTGTGTGATGGTTCTTCACATTCGTTTCAGATTTTAAATACAAGCCTACATGAATTCTATTACACACAACTTTGACTTCCTGGTGCTGGGAGGAAATGGAAGGAACGGGGCTCTGAACCACAGTCATAAAATGCACAGTAGATGGAAGGGAAGAGCCCCCGCACTGATTCACCAGTCTGCTTCACCCCAGTCCCAGCACAGAGTCTCTTCTATCAATCAATGGCCTTTAGGAAAGTGGTTCTTTTTGCCTGTCTTTCCTATCTATGCCCATATTATTGAAATAACAGTGAGAAATTTTCATTAAACATAAAGTAAAACTCCTCCGATTGTTGGATAAGTTGCTCTCTGAGAGTTAAACTGGTAAATTCTACTTATAATGGATAAGATTATAACTCTTTAAAAACAACTCATCTTAAAATACACTTAGAAAAAAGTGGGTGGAAAATGGAATGGCTCAGCTGCATCAAGATCAGGCATAAACTCAGGGGTCACATCAGGAGCTGCATACGGTTATGCAAGGATAGCCATGGATGGGACCCATTAAAAGTCCTATGACAAGACAATGAATCACAGGCTTTCTTTTTTTTTTTTTTTTTTAACATTTTATTAGGGGCTCATACAACTGTTATCCCAATCCATACACACATCAATTGTGTAAAGCGCATTTGTACATCGTTTCTCAAAACATTTTCTCTCCATTTAAACCCCCGACATTAGGTCCTCATTTTTCCCTTCCCTCCCCGCTCCCCCCTCCCGCATGAGCCCTTGATAGTTTATAAATGGGTATTTTGTCATATCTTGCCCAGTCCGACGTCTCCCTTCATCCACTTTTTGGTTGTCTGTCCCCCAGGGAGGAGGTCACACACAGTTCCATGTAATCGGTTCCCTCTTTCCTACCCATTCTCCCTTTACCCTCCCTGTTTTGCCACTCACACCACTGGTCCTATAGGGCTCATCCGTCCTGGATTCCCTGTATTTTCAGTTCCTATCTGTACCAGTGTACCTCCTCTGGTCCAGCCAGTCTTGCAAGATAGAATTCGAGTCATGGTAGTGGGAGCGGGGAGGAAACCTTTAGGAACTAGAGGAAGATTGTATTTCTCATCATTGTTACATCACACCCTGGCTGGCTCATCTCCTCCCCGAGACCCCTCTGCAAGGGGATCTCCAGTGGCCTACTAATGGGCTTTGGATCTCCACCTGCACTCCCCCCATCATTCACTATGGTAAGATTTTTTGTTCTGATGATGCCTTACACCTGATCCCTTCGACACCTCGTGGTTGCATAGGCTGGTGTGCTTCTTCCATGTGGGCTTTGTTGCTTCTGAGCTTGATGGCCACTTGATTACCTTCAAGCCTTTAAGACCCCAGACGCTATAGTTTTTGATAGCCGGGCACCATCAGCTGTCTTCACCACATTTGCTTATGCACCCATTTGTCTTCAGTGATCCGTTCGACACCCCGAATCACAGGCTTTCTTGTCAGCATATTTTATATTGTGGGAGAACAAAATGATGGGCATGAACTTCAGTAAAAGTTCTTTGGTTTACAAAAGCACATCAAGGCCCATTGTCAGAAGGAATCCATGCACCAAACTACAAAATTGAACCAAAGAAAATAATTATCAGAGTACCTGATGAATAAAATTCTATGTATCGTCATTAGTAGTGATCTCGATTCATTCTCTAATTATAAATTTCTTATGGTCAATCTCCAATTTCTTGGTCTGCACCCGATGCTAAATGCCAGTACTGAATAGAGAATGTCAACGAGCCCAAAGTGTCTACTGGAGCAAAGCTGAAATGTACCTTAACTCGATGGGCACTGCATGCCTACTATTTCATCATGTGCTTTTTGTGAGAAGTAATAATCTGCCTGGGAGAAACAGAAAGCAATTATTGGGATCTTTTTTGCTTTAAAGCATTTCACAAAAAGAAATCTAGGCAGGAAAAGGAATCATATCAACTGATATCATCCCTAATTATATCATTAACTAGTCTGAGAATCACACAGAAATTAGGAACGAAATCTCACACTTCCTCCATGTACCCATGGAGAGTTCCGAAAATACAGAAAATGCTTAAAATTTTACATTTCAGGAATGAACAGATGTGTGAACTGATCCCATAATAAGCTCACTAGGTGACAGCCAACTGACAAGTTTCACGGGCAACCCTTACGAAAGATGTACAAATAGAAACAAACAAACAAACAAAAACCCAAATGACCTGTGCCTTTCACAGTGGGTCTCCGTCTAACCACAAGTCCCTGGAGAATGTTCCATTCAAAAGTAGACCTTCTTCATCTCACAAATTGATCTTTGATGAGCATCACAACGGACATCATTCCAGCCCCAGCCTCCTCTAGCAGAATTTATCATAACACACTGCTCATCACGATGACTGGGTTCACCAGGACGCCAGAATCTGGAAGGGAGGGAAGGGATGGTACGACTTCTTCACACTGTGTTTGAAAAGGTCAGAGGCTGAGGGAGCTGAGGCTGAACATGTGGAATCTAGGTCAAGTAGGTCCAATCATTTCTTCCCCGTTCTCATTCTGCCCCCTTCTGCAAGGCCCCCCAATTGTAAGCAACTTCTCCTCCATCTCTGGACTTTCCCTTGAAAACTGACACCACCCAGAATTCCGCTAAGAGTTGTACAACAAGCCAATAAAATGAGTTTTTAAAAAAGAAATCCAGGATACATTAAACACCTTCCCATCAGTCACCCCAGAGACCCCCGTTTACTTCTTCATCCTTGATCTGTTCTCAGGGGACAAGCAAACCTGTAGCATTTCCTTAAGTGATGAAAGGGCTTCCTCCAGGTCCTAAGTTTCCATAGCGTTTGTTCTTCATAACTTGCTTTTGCAGTCTGGGGAACTGGTTAAGATCTCTAGATCTGCTACTTACTCCCTATTATTTTGGCCAAATAATTTAATCTACTTGAATCTCAGGTTTCCTATCTTTTAAAGGGGATTAGGTAGTATCCACATATACTTGACACATTTGCATGAGGATCAAAGGTGGTAAAGTTATCTAAAGTAAATAGTTATATTACGATGATCAGAATTTTGCGCTTGCTCTATGATAGAAATTATTAATTAATTATAATCTTAATATTTTTGCTTTATATAGGGATATAAATATGGTTAAAATCACAGACTTCAGTGACAAATAAGCATGAGGTTTTGTTTTTTTAAGCTTTTTCTTGTTTTTTGTTGCTGCTATATTTTAGTGGCTAGGAGCTGGGGTTGCCCGGTGTGGGGCAGGATTCAGG